ATTCTATACAGAATCGATGCTGTATCATATATATATAGTTCAATTCGATCGGAGAATTCGTACGAGTTCGCGACAAAGTTGGATCGGAATGCGCAAGAGCGAGATTACGATTTGTCGTTAGCCTTCGCTCGCGCTCTCGATAAAGTCTCGTATACAGTACTCTGCATACGCGCGCGTATGTGTGTGTGTGTGTGTGTGTGTGTGTTGCAATTGATACGCGCAGGTCCATATATCCTCTTAATCTCTCTGCGGCAGCAGCAGCAGCAGCTCTTTTCCATGTGGCTAGCTGCTGCAGGCCTCGTGCACGATTCGTATAATTTTTTTTATACTTGTATACGATGAGTCCGGTGATTACGGTATGTGTAGCTTGATGTACAATGTGCATCGACTAATTGTTCAAGGCAACGTCTATATGTGAGTATACGCGCTGATTTTGCCTATTGAGAAAGGGAAAGACAGAGAGAGAGAGAGAGAGAGAGAGAGAGAGAGAGAGAGAGAGAGAGAAAGCGACGCGACTACATGCTATATATCGCATAGAACAATAGGAGGGGGATGAACGAGCGTCGCGAGTGATTTATATAGAGTACTCGCGATCGTTACATAATTTACGACAATTGGCCGGAATGCGCAGGCGTAATCTAAACGTACTGAATCGGTAGCGCATAATTCGGCCGCTTTCGTCTATCGAGCTTTTCCAGATCGAATCTCTGTATACAACATCGTTAAAAAGACACTTAATAAATATACAACAACAACAAAAAAAAAAGAATTAGCTAAATAATGATCCTCGACTCTTGAGCAATGTCAATGTATTGTATGCACATTATAACGGAAGGAACGCGGACGTCCTTGACTCTCGCGCGCGAGTCGCAGTTTTGTTTTCTCGATCAAAGTCGTCGATTAGCTGTCGCGCGCGCGCGCCAACGCAGAGCGCGCGAGCGCACATTACGCACGTTGCAAATTATATTCGCGATATCAATCGGAGCAATATGGCTCGTTAAGAGCGCGTGTGTGTTCTGCGTGCAGTGCTGTATACGGGGCTGCATTATCAACGAGGCGTGCCTTCAAGGATCGAGATCGCGTATATATATATGTGTAGGTCTAAGCGCTTATTATTTTGTCTATATCTCCGACTAATCGTCCGAGTTGCGCTCGGCTATATATATACATACGCGCGATAAAGCTCTGCTAGCGCTGAGTGCATGAGGCAGGGAGCTCAAGATCTGGACAATGAGGCAAGAGAAAAGGGATGGAAAGATAATAAAAATGAAAAATACAAAAAAAAAAAATTGCGTTCGCCGTGAAGTAATCGTAGCAGATACAAAAGCTGCAGCAGCAGCATAAGCCGCGGAATTTGTCTCGTTCGATTACATATCCGTACGTATATGTATGGTACGGAGCTTTGGAGCCGGGCGCAGAGGAGAGAGCCAATACGCGAACTCTCGCGGTCGATTAGATTTTCACGTTCGCGCGAGCGCAGTCGAGGTTTCCTATCGATTGTGTGTACATATACAGGCTTGACCAGCTGCACAATGCAAAGATTCAATTTTCCAACCGTTAATACGTGCCGTATATCGCGCGCCACCGTTCCGTATTTTATATATCGTCACTGCGCGGGCACGCGCACGATTTTTTCTTGCTGCGTGCTGATGCCGAGTACACCGTATACACATACAGATATATAATATATATCGGAGCTAAGTCGTTAGTCCGCGCTCCTATCTTTTCTCTTGTTTTACCGTGTGTGTATAAGATTTCGATATCGCCTGCGCGCGCGCGCGCCAGAGAGAGAGAGAGAGAGACAGAGATTTTTCCATGTTGTACACGAGCGCGTACATGCATTACACCGGCCCCCGAGATTACATTTGTTCGGTACTCCACGCGGCGGCGGCGGCGGTGATGGTGATGGTGGTGCTGGCGACGGTGGCGTTGTGTATCGCTGTCTTACCTACACGTACATAATCGATATTTACTTTGAATCGCCATGTTATAATTGCCTAACGAGATCTCAAATGTCTGCTATGGCTGATTGTGCGCATGCGGCCCCGATTGTGAGCCGATTTTTTGAATGGAACTTGTTGTTGTTGTATTGATTCAGGTAGCCGCGAGACAGATCAAGGAGATTTTAGCCAACGATTTTTTAATTTGACTAATGCTGTACTCGCAGTAACCTCGTCTCTAAATAAAAAAACAAGTAAAACTCGTAGCGAATGATCGTCGATCGACTTTGTTCGCATTCATACTTACAATAATAGTCAACTATTATTACTTATTACTGCGTCAGTTCGCCGAAAAATGTGTCAGTGAGTCAGCTCCGCTCTCGTTGTTACAGCTACACAGATTATCGAAGTAATGCGTAGATCATAATAATATACCCCCAAACTTCGCGTTCAAAACCATACGTCATATATGTGCGTGCGCGATATGCAGTACCTATATATATACCTGGCCGTTTTAACGTAAAAGCAGCTCGCTCGCGATCTCGACCTCTCGCTTTACTGCTGCAGCGGCTGCTGCTCGAGGCTGTGTGCGTTGCGATGCCGTATCTCTCGTTACACTTATGCAACGTGGAGATTTATTGTCGATGATTATGCGAGCCGATCGAGGCGCAGGCAGGCAGGCAGCGCAGCGCAGGCATATTATATACATATAATACAACCGAGGCGGGCGCACGCATGCCATGCACGCGCGCCCGTTTAGTCGCGAGAGATATAGGAGAGAAGAGGAGGAGGAGGAGGAGAAGGTGGTGGTGTTGGATGATGGTGGAGAGGAGAAGACTCGCGCCCTCGGGTGCTTCGAGCGATACATTCGATTGACGGCTAGATGCTCACTCTCTCTCTCTCTCTCTCTCTTTCTTCCATGCGTACACACTGTAACACAAACACGTACACACTAACCGGCCGATTGTTGCGCAAATTATGCGCCGAGGGCTGCAACCATGCCCGCTCTTTAATGCTGCATCGCGCTGAGGTGTGCCCTCATTTATGCTGCTACGCTGACGAACGTGTATGCAGCGCGTGCCAATTGATTGAACAGCTGCTGCGGTCACCATCTCGTCCATTTCGTCGCGAGGTGCATCTCGTTTTTGAGCTTATATCCATCCTCTCTCTCTATCATTTTTTCTCCAGTTCTTGCTCAGTTTTTTATGCGATTGATATGCTCGCTCGAATCAAGCTATCCTGTATGCTGCACACATATATGTGCCACTCATTTAGTCGCACTCGTGCTGAGATATATTGCCGGTATCGTGTGGGCTGCGAAAAATATGGGACGACTATTAATTAAAGAGATTTTTTCGCCGATATGCTAATGCGTGTATCGCAGGAAAGTGCACCAATATAGTAGTAAGTACGCGCGTTATGCGCCTGGATACTTATACGACTGTATAGGCCTCGGATGAATTTTGACGAGGTAATATTTCCAGATATCCAATCGTGTATTAATACCGTTCGCTGCTGCCGTTTATGCAACTCGATCGCAATATGCACACGTATATATGCTATATAAATAACGCTGCCCCGCGCGCTCTCAAGATTTGCTCACTCTCGCTGTACTCGCGCCTCGCGACAAGCTCGCGAGAAATATTGACTGATAATACACACACATGGGTAAAGGAAAATTGATGTTTTGCTTTAATTCGCAGCTGCCGCTGCCGCTGCTGCGAACGATGGCGAATCTCGAGCGAAGCGCGTGAAACCAAAGGTAACTCGCGCGATATAATTCTATGATGCGTCGAGCTCCTTCTTTGATACTTGCAAATCTTGAGGAGTTACATATTAAGTACTTTATCGCGTGCGATAAATCGTACTTTTATGGATCAACATTTTATATAATAATTTTAAAAAATTTATATAGAGTAGGTATAAGGTAAAAAAAATTTTCTTTTGATTATCTTTAATATCTGACAAATATTTTATTTGATTTCGATTATATTTTTATTAAGAACAATTCTATTGTATTTATTTCCAATGACAATCAAAATTGATCTTTTTTCTTTCTATGTTTCAGGTAAGTGATTTCATTAAATTCTCAGATTGTTGCGACTTTGATGATAGTAAGTACTTTAAATCTGTGAGTAATTCATTTTGAATAATGTTCAATAATTTCGTGTAAATATGAACTGAAGTACATACATACTACTTGAATGGAAATCAAGTATAGCATATTACGTTTTTTTACTGTATTGTTTAAAATTAAATTATGTACTGAGAAGACTTATAGTTTGATACACAGATTTGATATATTTTTCGGGGTACTAAAACTAGGTGAGACTATTTTTTTATAACTGCAAAACTCGAATCAAATCGAGATGCGCCGACTTCGATGTGCAATCACTAATGCGCAAAGGAATAAAATAGTCAAACCAATTGTATACAAAGACTACATTGTAAAGAGTAAATGAATGGCTCTCGAGTTAAGATCACTTGTTGAAACGTATGTATACGTAATAATAGAAATGGTTATCCTCTTCACGCTCATTTTAAAATTGCGCGGTTAGCTCGTCGTAATAAATTTAACCATTGTGAGCGCACCACAGCCGATACTCTTTTATAGTGAACGTATTTGCAAACGTGCAATTTAAAAAAGGCGCGAATCATAAGTTACGGGTGATTTTGTCGAGGTATGAAACAACTTTGGATCCTTTTACTTTCGAGAATCTACATTTTCCTTGACTCGTGCGTAAATTTACGATTTAAAATACACAAGAAGATTCTAATAATTCTAATTTTTTTACCACAAAATGGAAAAATTCAACAACCCTTTAAAGAATTTTTAAAAAATTCACATATTATTCACTAACGTATAAAAATCCACGTTGGACAAATGTGATAGGGATTGATGATTAGTTTATATTTCATGCATTTGATGCATTTTCCCATGTTTCTGAGACTTATATGAACCATAACAACGTCCACTGCGCCTGTCCAACGATTAACATTTCAAGTGTGATTTTAGCCTCAAATTTTTATTGATGGTTTATTTAATTAAAGAAAAAAAAAAACAAGCATTTTTGTAGAGTATTATTTCAAATTCTATTAACCGAATTGACATAGGGAGAACAAAGCGATACACACATTGTATTCAACTACGCATGGACGGTAGAGGGGAAAAGCTTAGGTAGGGGGCACAGTCGCTAATACATACGACCGATGTGTTTACTCGCTGGTGTGAAGCTGAGTTCCACGACGAGCAAGTGTATTTGTGTATACAAATTATTTCTGCTGTAAAGTACAGGTCTATGTTTGAAATCGAGTCATAGTTTTAACTATTTGAGGCGTTTAACCTCAAATAATTTCTCAGTATATGCCGTGAAAAATTACAGTAAACAATAATATTAAGAAAGAGATGGAAAACAACAGTGATGTAGTTAGGTAAATAATTTTGTTTGTCCTACTGTCATGATAATTTTTTAGAGCGATTTAATACTGAATTCGATATTCATCAGGGTGAAGCAAGAATTGAACGATACTTGGTTGAATGCAGATGAGGATCATATTTTTGATTTGGTGAACTTTTGCAAAGCCAAAAACTTTGAAACATCCCCGTTAAATAAATCATTGGTGAGTTGAACAATTTGAATTACGTTTAATAAATTCACTATTTGAAACTAGCCCACAATTTTCATTTTAGACAAAACACATCAATGAGGCTATTATTTTACATGAAAACTTGGATGAAAAAATATTCATCGACTTTGAGTGCAAAGATGTAAAACCTTTTCAACCTATTATGAAAGAAGAAAACAAAAATCCGACCTATCACATGAGTGAAAGAAGTCCGATAGTTTTGATAAAAAAAGAATTCAATTATGATTGTCGAGACAGTTATACGACAAGAGCCAGGCTAAATAATCATACGAATACGATACCCAAGAAAAATAGACCGTTTAAGTGTAAAATTTATAATGAATCACATTCCTCCAAAAGTAACCCCAAAATTCATTTAAAAATAGTACACGATCATAGCAAACGCTTCGAATGTGATATTTGCCATAAATCATTTGGAAGAAAAGATAACCTGAAAATTCATATAATTACAGTACATTATCGTAGCAAACTCTTTAAATGTGACACTTGTCACAGATCATTTGGACAAAAACATTACCTGAAAATTCACATGAATGCAGTACACGGTCGGAATAAACCTTTCGAATGTGAGATTTGTCATAAATCATTTGGATACAAGACTAATCTCAAGAGACACATTAGTATAGTACATGATCGTACCAAACGCTTCGAATGTGACATTTGTCACAAATCATTTGGATATCAGAGCGTACTTAAAAAGCATAGAGTAACAGTTCATAATCTTGGAAATTCCTTTTGAATGTGAAGTTTGTCATAAGTCAGTTGGACAGAAAAGTAACTTCAACAGACACATAAAGGAAGTACATAATCTTAGCCAACTCTTCAAATGTAATATTTGCCATAAATCATTTGGAAGAAAAGGCGACCTGAAAATTCATATAATTACAGCACATTATCGTAGCAAACCCTTTAAATGTGAAATTTACCACAAATCATTTAGACAAAGAGCCAACCTTAATGTTCACATAAATAGAGTAAATAATTGAAGCAAACTCTTTGAATGTGAAATTTGCCACTATCATTTGCACATAAATGCAGTACATAATCCCCAAAAACCCTTCTAGTGTGTCAGTTTTAACAAGTCATTTGGACATGACCATATCATGGGCTTGATAATGACCATACACGATGGTAGAAAATCTTTTGATTGTGAATTTTTGTCACAAGTCTTATGATCTAAAGAAAACTTACACGATAAGAGTTAAATTTCATAATTGTATCAAATTTTGTTAAATGATATTTATTATGAGACACGTTGACACAATAAATTTTTATTTACAATGAGACCTATAAACGATTGACATGACTATTTTTTAATTTTGTACAAAAAACTGACATATTTTATATTCATATTAATCTGTCATAAAACACAAAGCTATATTATATCCTTGGTACATAAACTAATATACATAATTTTTTTCAAATCTGGTCTGAATCCCAAATTCCTAAAGTGGTCCGATAGTTCTGAAAAATTTCACACGTGTTCATATAATGATTTAAAATCTTTTTTTTTCTCTAAATTTACGCTTATCGAGTAAAAAATAATTAAAAGTTTTGTACCTTAGTATTTCTTTGGCTCTTTGAGGTCCCAAAACCAACTGAAGAGCCAAAGAATAACTTCGAATGGTTTTATTTCATGTTAAACACTGAACGAGTAGTGATATTAGCGGGAAAACATGATTTTCCGTTCTCTCAAATACAAAAATATCCGAAGAAAAAGTGTCTAACAAATATTTACATTGTTCCCGCATTTCCAATTTCTTAGGAGTTCGATGAACAAGTCGCGTCAAGTGAGGAAAATTTCAATCGCGAGCTTAACCTTGAATTTTGTTAGCTTATGAACCTTGAAAGTAATAAGAGATGCAAGGAAGTATTAAAACCAGCAGCAGCTAAACTTGTACAAAAACCCAACTTCATTCCTCTTCCTCTCTCGCCCTTTCTCACTTGCTTTATCATATTCGATCGGATTTTCATTGAGACTCGCCCTATGCGCGCACACATACACCCTCCCTAGCGCATGTCTTTATCTCGAGATTTTTTCTACACTTTCGCTCACGCTCTCTTCTCAATGTTTATCTTATAGGATCATCGTCTGCACTTTGGATGTATGAACGATATATTGATTCGCCTCCATCATCGCAACTTATGCATATATCTCTAGGTATACGAGAGGCGCGTCTTCTAAATGTTAAAGTTATACTCAAGGGCAGTGACGTTGTAGCTTTGCCTTTGATAGAAAACAAGCGTAGATAATTGTGCATCAACGCGCAGAAGTTTTGCGTATTATTACGCGTCAAAGGCGAATTTTCTAATTCACGCTAGCGAGCGCTATAACAATACTGTATTTATCGCGTGCGATTTATAAGACGAATCTATGCATACAAGATTGAACTATCGACTCGCGAGATCATTTTTCTCGACCGCAGCCTTTGGTTCTCGTGCATCGTTCAGTCTCTCTGCAAGCGATACCCTTTACGCTGATATATAAGTATATAATATATAATACGTGACCAAGCGTGCGAATCTTATCTATCGCCAACTTCCATCCTGCACTTCTCTCTCTCTCTCTTTGGCCTTTCTTCTTACTTCTTTGCGCGTCGACAAGCTTTCTTTTTCACTCCGATGTATATACGTATATAAATCTTTGCTTTTAGAGCTGGACTCGCTGATAAAAAAGCCCATCGCGCTATCGAGCGAGCTTTTTCCATTCGAGGATGTAAGCGATGTTGTCGTTCGAAGCAGCTTGTATGCAACTCTCAGCGATGAAAAAAATAAGAAAAATTGATGAAAGTCAAATAATTCTGATTTCCAGAATGACTTAGACAATTATGATAATCAGTGCGAAAAAGTGTATTATCTATGCGTGCAAGAAACGACTGCAACCTACCGAACAAATTAAACCTGTACATGACATTTTTTAATGAATTAGCATCTTTTAGTGCGTTATCAGGTTAAATTTTAATGACACGTGATTGTTTCTATATTGTATCGTATTATGTAACTGCGTATTTCCAATCCGACGGTGGTGGGAAAAGGTTTTTCTAAGGAGCTATCACAATGACGGGGTTTTCTTGCTAATATACGAGTATGCGTTCAGTCGCTAGTTGAGAGCTACATTCTTGTAACAAGCAAGTGTTTACAAATAATATCAGTATGAGACTGTAGGTCGTGTACTTAAGATCGAAGCGCAGAGTTGGCTACACAAGGCGTATAACCTAGAATATTTTTTCAGTCTAAATCGTGAAAATTCATAGTGTGATTACATATAACCAAACGAGTGATGGAAAGTAGCGGGGACATAGTTAGGTATAATTTTTTCAGTCTAAATCGTGAAAATTCATAGTGTGATTACATATAACCAAACGAGTGATGGAAAGTAGCGGGGACATAGTTAGGTATAATTTGTTGTTCACACCATATTTTTTGAAACTTGATGGATTATCAAACACGATTATTCTTTAGGATAAAAGAAGAACCGAACGGTTTTTGGCCGGATGCAGACGACGATAATATTTTCGATTCGGTGGACTCTTGCGAAGCTACAAACATTAAAACATTAACATCATCAGTGAGTTGAAGGGTTTGAGTCATTTTCTGTTTGTTCACTATCAAAGACTAAGTAACGTAATTTTAATTATAGGCAAATCACAGCAATGAGGCTTCGGCGTTACAGAAAAAATTGGATAAAAAAATATTCATTGATTTTGAGTGCAAAGGAGTTAAATTGGAACTGAAGCCTATATCGAAAACTATTTACAAAACTGAAGCTCAAAGTAATTCACCAATTGTGAAAATAGAAAACCAAATTCAGCCAAATCGCTTGAACGATAAAGTTCTATTGATTTTGATAAAAAGAGATTTCGATTATGATAATAATTGTTTATTTCCACTCTATTTCCGATTGAAACGTGATGACTCCAAGGAAGTGAAAATATTGAATGAAAGCATTCAGACCAAATTATTTTATGAATTTAATTTGTGTCAAAAAGCTAAAGGAGAAGAGAGACTAAAAACACATATCAATACAACACACAAGAGCATTAAACCACATGAGTGTGAGATTTGTCAGAAACCATTTGTATATCAGAATGTACTTAAAAGTCATAGAGTAACAGCTCATAATCTTGGAAATCCCTTCGAATGTGATATTTGCCATAAATCATTTGGATACAAGACTAATCCCAAGAGACACATTAATGTAGTACATGATCGTACCAAACCCTTCGAGTGCGATATTTGTCACAAATCATTTGGACGAAAAAGTTACCTCAAATCTCACATAGAAGCAGTACATGATCGTAGAAAACCCTTTGAATGTGACATTTGCCACAAATCATTTGGACAAAAAAGTAACCTCAATAAACACATAATTGCAGTTCATGATCGGAGTAAACCTTTCGAATGTGAAATTTGTCACAAATCGTTTGGATACAAGCATATCCTCAAAATTCACGTGAATGAAATACATATTCGTAACAAACCCTTTGAGTGTAATATTTGTCACAAATCATTTGCACAAAAAAGTAACCTCAACAGACACATAAGGACAGTACATGATCATTGCAAACCCTTTGAATGTGAGATTTGTCACAAATCATTTGGAGAGAAACGCGTCCGCAAACTTCACGTCAACACAGTACATATTCGGAGCAAACCCTTTGAGTGTGAGATTTGTCACAAATCATTTGGATACCCGAGTACATTCGAAAGACACATTAAGAAGGTACATGATAGTATCAAAACCGAGAAGCTTAAGAGTAGATAGTTGGATATAGTAAAGACTTTTGTAGTTGGTATGGGTATACTATGTAAGTGTTTACAATTTTTTTTGTAAAACTTTCACATTTCAATAAAATGTTTCAAACTGTTATTTATTTTGACAAGACTGTTAATAACTGTGACTCACTTTTCAAACTAAAATATTAATCTTTTTTGGTCTTCAATTCGTTCTTCCAAGTATTACTTTTGAACCGATCTTTCAACAATATATTTATTTATCAATTGAATTTTTCTCTAACTAATTATCGGCCCTATGTTTGTACGAGTAGAAAATCTTGCCTGAAAGACATAATTATTCTTCAACGCCGTCTGACAACCCCCAGAATTGATTTTAATACACGTGGAAAATTGAACAACTCGAATCGTTCAGAAAACAGTACTTCGAGTAGTAACAATTCCATTCATCCGAACAAATTACGTTATGTATTTAATGATGAAAAGACATTATTTTGCAATTATCGTTCGACTACGAAGGAAGTACTGTCAGTACATCACACTGTATATAAATTCGTAAATTTATCGCGATCACTATTTTTATAAGGTAGGATTCATTATGTATTATGGAGAATTTTTCTTCGAAAGCACGGAAATGATTTGTAAGTTTTAGAGTGATGAAAATGTGAAAAAAGTGGAGTAACAGGACACGAAATCCATAATTCTGTATACGTCTATATCTGAGCGTGCGAGGGAGTTAGTACAGATGTATCGATGGCGTACACGACGTGATTCCCTACGAGCGTAAACCCCGTCGCCGCCGTTGACGCTATGCTGCAGACGAGATGAAATAGCGATAGGCCATATAGATGAAGATCAATGAAGCCGATTGCCAAAGTTATTACTGGATAGGCGTGTGCGTCAAGATGAGGAAGAGGAGAATGAGGGTGCACGTACGTCTAGATATAGGGGTCGAAGTTCCTCGTTGCGAGGGGCATGTATTTCATACAGAATACGCGATCGTATATAGTCTCGGCGCAACACGCAGCGGAGTATAAGACGAAACGATATCGCACGCGGTCGAAAGAACCAACGTTTAGCAGTTCAAAGTGACGCGCGTAACTGCACGCGGCTTTAATAATGCAATATATAGCATAGTCGTCTTTATATGCCGCGAGTACAACGCGTATACAAGCGTGTATAACACGCGAAGAGCAGAGATCGTTCGAGCAAAAATAGTCTCCACGGCGAAACAAGGAATAAAACTCGTCACTCGCGGCGCGGCTGCAACGGCAGCAGTACCAGTTATTTAGCCGCGGCGCGTGCATTTAAAAGTCAGATCTCCGTATTGTATTATTGTATGTATACGCGTGGCCGTAAAAGATTAAGCGACTTTTAGCCGATATAACGCGAACACAACGTGAGCATTTGTGTGTGTGTGTGTGTGTGTGTGTGTACGAGCTTGCCCCTCATATAATAATGCGTGCCTATATGCAGGAGGTCTTTTGTACATTACGATGCTCGCGAGATTGCAGAGGAGTATGGGCAGAATTCATTA